GCATGATGTCTTTGAGCTTCGTCGGGGCGCAGCCTGGGTCAGGTCCTGCTCCTTTTGAGGGCTGAGTAATACTCCACGGAATCGGGCGGAGCGTGTGGGGACCGTTTGCTCGCCCACTGCCGGGCCTGGGGTGTTGGAGGGTACCATCCGTGAGAGCGCGGCCCTGGGGGTCGGGGGCACAGGCTTTTATAGGTCAGCGCCCACATGCCCCTCTCGCCACCCGGTTTTCAGGGACCCTTTGGAATCGATAATCTGATACACTTCACCTAAAACAACCCCGAAGGTACTTGGCAGGTGGTCCCGGCCCGGAGCTGTGCCTGCGCCAAGGGACCTGTCTCAGGGAGGGTTTAACTGCAAGCAGCAGAAACAGACGCCGGCTAATTCGAGTAGAAAGGGGACTTATTAAAAGGACATTAGCTAGCTCGCAGACTCCCCAGGACAGAAAAATGCAGGCTAGGTCGGGCGGCCAAAAACAACGGTGCGATGCTAAAATCGTGCGGCAGGGTCAGCTCCGTCGAGGCGCTCCCGCTGCCTCCGCCAAGTCCGGGGCCACAGGGGGCCCGGCTGCTCCCTCGCTGCCACCGGCGCCCGGCGCCCAGTGCACCCTGTGTGCCCTCCGCTCCGGCCCTGCTGCCCTGGGCTCTCGGCCTCCCTAACCCCGGCCGGAGAGGACTCTCAGGGCCCCTGCCCCCTTGGCGCCAGCAGCTGAGATAACGGCAGGACCAGACGAACCTGGCCGGCTGGGTGGACATCAGATGCCCACAGGGAGGGAGGCTGGGAGAGTGTTTCCCCTAAAATGGGGAGGAGGGCGGTCCTCCACCCACCCCCCTCCCCGTGGGAAGGGGCCCAGATTCTGGGTAGCTCAAAGGAGCCATGTCAAGGGTTAATGGCATGGACCCTTCAGAGGGTCACCAAGCGTCAGAGCTGACTAAAGGCAGGAACACACCCACCAGCAAACCAGGAGCAGGGGTCCCTGAGGCCCATACTTCAAAGGTCACCAGGGGCCACCTTCACCGAGTCCCACCCATCCGAGTCCGTGGCACCCAGTGGCACTGCCCCTGCAGGTCATGCTCTGGGGGCCCAGGGCCTGGCTCTCGGGCCGAATGGTACCGAGCCTGCCCCCAAAGCCTGCACACGCCTTGTGCCCAGGGCCCGGCGCCTGAGGGTAGCTGTATCGCCCATAGACGCCGCCCCCCCACCTCCCCGGCCCGGGGCTGGCCAGAGGGTGAGTGCGGAACTCAGACGTTCCCCCGGGCAGCCACGCGGGTGAGAGTGAGGCCCCTCGTGGGGAGGCACAGGGCTGCACGCAGCAGGAGAGGAGGCCAGGGGCCGCCCTCCCCCTGTGGCTGCCTCCCAGCCCAGAGCTGCGAGGAGTCCGAGAATTCTAACCTTACACCTGCCCTCCCGACTGTCACACAGGCGGACATGTCAAGGTGCAAGGGTGGAATGTGTCCTTTTGAACACTTTGGTCGCCTGCATTTTTGTGATAAAACACACATAACACAAAACCGACCACTGGAAGCCCTGTCCCGAGGTGCAGTGTCACAGCACAAAGCACAACCGTGACGCTGCGGGGCCACCGCCACCACCGTCGTTTCTGGAGCTTCTCCGTCTTCCCACACTGACGCTCTGTGCCTTTGAATGCTACCTCCCCACCCCCAACACCCCACCCCCTCCCCAGCCCCTGGCCCTCGGGTCTGCTTTCTGTCTCCGAGTCCACTACTCTGCGCACCTCGAGGAGGGGGAATCACCCAGTGTTTGTCCTTCTGAATCTGGCTCATGGGACGTCACAGCCTTGGGGGGACCGGGTGAGCCTTAGGGGGGTGGGTGAGTCGGCCCCCAGGGGGGAACCACGAAGGTAGGATTTCTGTGCAAGGCAGGTATCAGGGACCCACCTGTGAGAACTCGGGGGCCAGCAGCAGGTTGGAAAAGCTGCCAGACCTCAGGATTTCTAAGTGTGGCCCTGCGTGAGGGGCGGGAAGGACGGCTGGGGGACGTTCCTGGCCCACCTGCAGGCAGAGGAAGGGTCCCCAAGGCCCATGGGACCTACCTGTTGGAGCCCAAGCTGGCTGGCCGCAGAGTCCCTTCCGCCTCAGCACCCTGTGGCGGCTCAGCCCCGCCGGGAGCAGCGCCTGGGAGGCGAGGCCTCGGGGGCCCACGCAGGGGTGCGTCCCCACCACCGACACCGCCCTCCCTCCCCCAGCTGTCCCTCTCCTCGCTCCGTCCCACCTCTGTCCCCAGCAACGACATAAGTGTTGTTTTCAACCCTGCACAGTGAAGCCGGAGGCCACCCCTGGCTGCTGTGCCACCCCAGTCCGCCAGCTGACCCCACTGCGGCCACATGCTGCTGGCCCGTGCAGCACGGGGGTCCCCTGGCGCCTCCACCCAGGGGACGTCCCAGGCCAGACGCAGATTGGGGTCACCTCTCCCGCAGGTCTCACCCTGCTGGGCTATCTGCCCCTCGGGGTTTGAGTGTGGTGTCAGGTGCCCCCCCTCAGTCCCCTGCCAGCTCCCGTGGGGCCTGCGTGGCTGGCACCTGACCCCACTGTCCACAGTCTGCCCTAAAACGGGCCCTCAGGCTTCCGTCCCCAGGGCCATGCCTACAGACACGCACAGCCTCCACCAAGTCCCCAGGAAGCTTCTTCATCGTCTCAGGTTCAGCTTTCAAATTCTTACACTGCAGGCCGGGCAACGAGTGTGTCCCGAGCAGGGGGAAGGAGTCGGGGTGACAGGCTCTCCTGAGAATGAAACTGCCACCCTCCTCCCAGGTTCGCTCCGGGAGAATGGAGTTTTAAGCGGCTCCCCCCAAGGACAGGAGCAGCTCTCCCCGTCTCCTGCTTTTTGGTGCCACCAAGTGGTGATGTGGGTTTTCGCACAAAGCAAGTGGTTCTAACAATTATTTTTATTCCTACTGTTTCCCCTGCTTCTGGAGGAGGTTGCATTTTTATCTCTTAAATGGTTATTTTAGGGAGAACTTCCCCCCCCCCAAAAAACAGGGAAGATTCCTTTACCTTGGCTGACCCCCAGTGTCGTTCCACAGGCTGTCTGAGTCAGGGAGAAACTCAATTTCTTGGAAGCAGCGCCCAAAGGGAGTTTTAAAAAATCCTCACCCAAGAACACGTTTATTGATTTTAAAGAGAGGGGGAGCGAGAGAAACATCAATCAGTTGCTTCTCATATGCACCCTAACCAGGGGATCGAACCCACCAACCAGGCACATGCCCTGACCGGGAATCAAACCCACAACCTTTCTGTTTACAGGACGACGCTCCAACCAGCTGAGCCGCACCAGCCAGGGCTCCAAGGGCTCTTGGACGAAGCCCCTCCGTCCTCTCTCAACCTCGCCCCCAATGCTTCCTCCGCCCTCACATCCACGCTTCTCCTCGAACGGCCCCTCAGGTCCACGCAGACACTGGAACGCGGCCCACTCACCAGGGCGGACAAAGGCGGCCACCGCTTTTCTCCCAGGGGGTGACCTGTCTCCCTCTTCTAGGCCCCAAGGTGAGGGACAACGGTGGACATCCAATTGCAACATCCCTTTCTCCCTGGGGGGGGGGTAGGGGGGACTGAGAGGTGGGCTTGCTCCATGTCACTTCAGAGACCTGACAAAATGGGAAGCATGGCGACGTGGTCACGACGCAGAGAAAGCTCTAAACGCTCAAGACCAGCTTACGTTCCTGTCCCGTCTCCTCTCGTTTTGGGAGCGCCCAGGGAAGACCCCCGGGCTCGCACGCCAGGCCTCCAGCCAGCTCCCCGGGCAGGGGTGGAGGGGGGCGAGAACTCCGCGGAGGGCCCGCCCAGCGCCTGCAAGGCCCGGCCTGCTTCCGGCCAGGGCCCCGGATGCCTTCGCGGCTGAGAAGCGCAGCAGGAGCCTCGAGGCCGCCAGAGGTCCTGAGCCGGGCTTGCCAGGCGGCCAACAGAATGCCGGACAAACAGGGATTGAAATTTTCACATACACGAAATAAACCTCGTATGGAGACTGCATTTCGTCCACGCATTTCTCAGGCGGGAAACACAGAAGCAGAGTGTCCGGTTTAAAATGAGAGACCGGCGACCCCCAAGGTGGGCCACCCCTGCCTCCTCCAGGAGTGGAAGTGGGGTCCTCGGGCCCTCGGGCGGACAGGCCACACGGTCTTGCCGGACCCCTGCCCTCCCTTCCCCAGCGACCCGGGGACACCCTTCTGCCCAGACCAGTGGGCACATCAGCACGGCCCCCACGGCAGCCCCGCCCAGACCAGTGGGCACATCAGCCCCGCCCCCATGGCAGCCCCGCCCAGACCAGTGGGCACGTCAGCCCCGCCCCCCAGCAGCCACGTGGCAGAGAGGAGTGGGAAGCGGCAGCCAGAAAAGCCCCAGAGAGACTTGGGGGGTGAGGCATGATGTCCCCTATTTATTTCCTGCCTCGTTTGCTGCTTCCCTCCTTAACGACGCCAGGGATTTAGGATAACTTAAATGCTTATACCCAACTATGTGGATGAAATTAGGACCTTAGACTATGGTAAGCTAATATTTGATTATACCTCAGCTCTAGTTTTGTTGTTGTTTCTAAAGTAAACACTAGCACTTTATGGTATAGAACCCAATTCCAAAGCATCGCCCAAGCACACAGATGCTCAGCTTCGCTTTCTCCCTTCACCAGCCGGCCAGATCACTGATTCCGCCCCCGGAAAGAGCACAGCCGGGCCTCCCTGTGGCGTCCAGCCCCTATGCCACCTGTCTGTCCATAAGACGCTCGGGGACACCAAAGCCCCAGAGGCGGTGACTTCTCCCTGGTCACTGACTGAAAGAAAAGTTCTGGCCACAGAGGTACCAGATCCAAGGGTTTCTTTTTTTTAATAGAACGTTTGTTTAGAAAGTCACAGAGGTAGAAGTGAGCTGTGGAAGAGGTGGGCTCAGGAAATGAGTTAGAGACAAAAGAGGGGGCCCCTGGGGCTCAGAGGAGAGACCAGGGTGGGGCAGAGAGAGAGACCGACAGACAGATACAGACAGATGGATGGGGGTAACGGCAACTTGCCCGGGGTAAGAAGAAGGGAGGGGACTTTCGCAGGCATGCTCCTGGGAGGGAGAGCCGCCCACGGATTTCTTTATCACTGATCGTGGTTACAGACTTTCTGGTTGAAACCGTGGCAAAATTCCTTGGAAGGACGGACCAGGCAGATCCATCTGCAAACCGAAGATGGTGCGCGCGAACGAGACGCGGGCTGGCCGTCTCGACGGGCGTGGAGGCGGAACCGCAGGCGGCCGCACAGAGTCAGGGGCTGGGTCTTCCCAGGAGGAACGCGAGCAGGGCCCAGGTGGTCACGACGCCACAGACTCTGCAAGACAGCCACACGACAGGGGTCGGCGCGGGAGGCCTGAAAGCTCTGACGCACAGGCGCGCAGCCTCTCTTCCCGGCGTGGTTCACCCAGATGTTATTTTTCCCCCCACGACTGTCCCGGTGCTGGCAGCGAACTTCTGACTCTCGAGGTCAGCACGGCTCTGGGGCACGACCAGGCACATTTCCTGGTGACCGACATCAGAGGGTGACGCAGGAAGCAGCACCACCTAGAGGCCAAGGGCTTTTCTCCAACAGCGCTCTTTCTGCAGACCGGGCTCCGAACCCGCCAGCCAGAGCCTTCTAAAGCGCCTTACCAGCAACTCCATCTTTCTCGACGCTCCGGCCAAAAAAACCTCGGGATTCACACCTGACTCTCTCCGCTCTGCCAGTGATCCCTCCTGCACTGACTCCCCTCTGCCCCCAGCCAGTCCAAGCCACAGCCGAACTACAACCAGGTGATTAGGCTCCCAAATTCCTCCCCGGCCTGGTGTCCACAGTCTGTCCACCACAGAGCCACGCGTCACTCCTCTGTCAGAAATCCCCGAGAGCTGCAGCTTCTCCCCAGTCCTCGCCCGTGACCCCCCCACGCGCTCAGGGCCCACGGACATCTCCCGCCTCAGCTCCTCACTAGTTCGCTCCCGTCGCCGTGGCCTCCTCGCTGCCCCCGGCACACCCTGCCCTCCCACCGGGGCCTCCGCCCTGCCGCCCCCTCTGCGCGGACGCAGGGCCTCCCATCGTCTCTTCTCCTTCAACAGCAGCCCCCCAAGCCCCGCCCCCCTCCAGCCCCCCCCCCGCCCCCCGAACGGCTCTCGTGCTCACTACAACACCTGTCATCCGCTCAGGCCTGCAGTTCGCCGCTCATTGGCTTCTGGCCACCCCCGCTGCGGCGTGAGCTCCGTGACATCAGGAGTCTGCTGTCGTCACCGACGAGGCCCTAGAACCTACTGACGCACCCCACACAGCAGATGCCCAGTGAACGTCACCGAGTGACATCCGTTCGCCACATGTGCCAACGAGCCCTACACAGCGCACGCCAGCAACATGCCAGCAACATGCCAGCAACTGAGCTGAGCCCCACTGAGACCAGAGGGGGACCTCGGACCGGACAACCTTGCAGCCCCGGCCCCGGCCACTTACTGCAGCAGGCAGCTCACGTCCGGCGAGTGTCTCCAGTGCCGATAGAGGGCGACCCGCAGGGTGGGGTGGCCCCTGTGCTCCTTGAGGACGCTCCGGGCACTGCAGAAGGGAACGTACTCAGGCCGGGCACGCGCTCACGGGTGCCGCACACCCAAGGCTCCGAGCAGGTTCCCAGGGGCTGCGGGTAAGGAGAGGGGGCGGGGGGCGAGGCAGGACAGCTGGCACCCAGGGCACCTACTCCTTGAACTTATTGGTCAGGAGCAGGAACTGGTTCCGCGTGAGTCGCCGGACGTCGAACTTGCAGAGGTTCTGGAACTCGCGGTAGACTTGCTCCTCGCTGACCCCCGGCCACCTGCTGACGCTGAGGAGGAGGATGGGGGGTCGGACACTGGGGTAATCGGGGCCAGAAAAGTTCTGGAAGACAAGGAGAAGAACAGGAGGAGACTCCCACCGTTCCTGCTGCCGGCCTACCCGGCGGCTGGAAACCCCTGAGAGACAAGGTGGGAGAGGCTCCGTCTGCCGGTGGGGGAGGGAGGGGGACAGAAGGAAGGAGTGGGTCCACGTTGGTTTGGCAGGAAGACGAGAAAAAAATGACCAGTTGAGGTTTCGGTGGTTCTAGGAGCCCCCTAGGGTGTCCCAGAGAACAAGGCTGCCGCCCAGCACAGCCCCTGGAGGAGGAAACAGCGCAACGAAGGCTACTCACGATCTTCGGGACCCCGGCGCGGATCAGGTTCACCTGGTTCAGGTAGGGGGCCAGCGCCTCGAGGCACAGGGCGAAGGAGGGCTCGGGTGTGGGGCCGGCACTGCATGGGCAGAGAGAACCCAGAGCACGGGGGCACGCTGGTGGCCACGCACACGTCCGGGGCCGAGGCTGCGGCTCCACGGACCCACTGGGCAGAGCTGCCCCAGACACTTCGCCTTCCCCGCCCACAGCTGCCAGGGCGCGGGCCGGCACACTCCCCCCACTGCCAACCTCAGAGCTGTCCCCCAGGGCCCGCGCCAGAGCAGAGCTTCCAGGCAGTCACCGTCTGTCGGCGACAGTTTGGTGATGATCCCTCGGCTGACACACGTGAGCACTGGGCTCAGAGAGGCAGTGAGAGGCCACTGTTCAGGGGACAGGCCACTTTGTCATCTGATGCGGCAACACCCTCAACTCCAAATGGCTGTCCCTCCTACAGTGCCTTGCTCTGCCACCTGACCGAGCGCAGGCTGGGCAGGGGCCTGAGCTGTGGTCCCAGGCGGGCCTGGGCCCCCGAGGAACCTCCCTAAACCTGCCAGGGTTCGAGTCGTGAGCAGAAGAGGAAGAAGCAGCTGTATGGCCCAGATGCTGGGCCCAAGGGGACCCTGCTACTGCGGGCGGCCGCCCTCACTGGTTGGCGCATGAGCCTCCCAGTGGGCCCCTCAACACCACCAGAGCCCGGGGAAAAGGGGGCCGGGGGGGGGGGCGGCTTCTCATCTGAGTCGTCAGCCTCACGCCAATGTGCCACAGACTACTCCGTGCGCCGTATCCGTTGCCCTGATGGACAAGCGCCGGCCAAGCCCGGTCTAACAGACTGCAGCCCAGAACTGCTTCCAAGTCAGCCACAAAGACCACGTCCCCCCTCTGACCGGCTCCTCCACCTGGCCTGCGGAGTCCCACTCAACAGGCAGGCATGTCACCGAGGGCTGAGCCGGCGCCTCGAGCCCAGGGCTACCTGTGCACGGACGTCCAGGACGCTGCTGCCGCCTCGGAGAGATGCACCTGATTCCGACCTGGGGCTTCCAGCATCCCCCCCACTGTGGGCCTGATTCTAAGTCACTGCCCGCCACCTGCCAGCTGGCCTGACTGTGTGGGCCCCGAGGACGTGTCCTTCGCCGACCTGAGCACTCTGTCCTCCTGCTGCTCTCTTAGTGACACAGTTATGAGGATCGTGGTGACAGACCAAGCCAGCACAGCATGCTGAGAAGCACTGAAGCAGGGTGACCCCTGGGCCCAACCCCAAGACAGGGCCAGGGGACCAGGACCGGCACGGGGGAGGGGCGGGGGGCAAGGCCGCCCAGGGGAGGAAGCTGCTACCCAGCTCCGGCCAGGGACTCCGTTACACAGTGACACTCTGCGTCCCCCTTTCTCTAGGACAGCCAAGGGGGCCGGAGGTTCTTGACTGACGGGAGGGCAGCTCACAGGATGCAAGGAAGGGCCACTCACCTGTGCAGTCTCCACAGGAGCAGGTGCGCCACTTTCAAAAGGACTGGGGAGAGAAGCTGGAGGTGTGACAGGCATCGAGGCCCCACCTGGCCGCCTTCAGAAGTCACACCTTCCCGGGGAGGTGAACGGGGGTCAGGAGGGTGGCACGGGTCGCCACGGATGAGACGCGGGCCTCCTGGTGAAAGGACACCCACTCTCACCTGAGCCGCTGAGGAAGGCGTCGTAGGCTGCCTCGTGCGGGTACTTTGTCTCTGCTGAGGCGGCGTTCCGGAGCAGGAGAGAGAGCGGCAGACAGGTCAGAACGCACCTGGGGAAGGTGTCTCTGCCCTGGCCCGGCATCCCCGCCCTGGTTCATCCCCACATGGGCCGGGCACACGCGACCTGCACCCGTCCTCCCTCCAGAGACGTGTGCACCTCCCCCCCCCACTGCCCGCCTCTCCCGATCCTCCCCACGCGGCACGGGCACCCCCGGGGGGAGGAAGCACAGCGCTGAGCGCTTCCTCACAGCCCACCCACCACGGCAAAGGGGAGCCGGTGCCCCCCGACCCTGCCCAGGACGCTCCAACGCCTCCAGGATGGCGCCTTTCCGGTGAGGGGGCGACAGGGAGCACGGCACAGGAGACCGGTGGGGGGCCCACCCCAGGGAGACCCGGCCCCTGCTCTGGCCCCGCGGGGCACGCCCTGGCGGGCACCCACCGTATTTCTCGCACTCGCTGGCGTGAACGATCACTGGCCCAGAATTCTTGGTGGGATTCAAGTCGCTGTTGGAGAAGAGACACAGGATGAAGACTGTTCACTAAGACCAGTCCCTTGGGTTCTCCCCTCGCTGTCTTAATACAAATAAAAATGTTCTTAGTCCCGGGACATCTTCAAGCGAAAAGGCAGGGAATGAGGGTCTGGGTACATGGGGCCTGCGTAACTAGGCAACGGGGCAGGCGAGCGAGACCAGCGGGCACCAGGCTGAAACGGCGGCTCTGAGCATCCGGCAGACACGTAGCCCGGGCACCAACCACAGCTCGACGCCAGCTCTGCCCCGAGGGCTGGCTGTCCAGTGGTCTGAGGGACAGAGACATGGTCACGCTGCATCCTGCTTATGCAGCGCCCGGGCGTGAACAGTGCATGGCCACGGTCAGGGGCCCCACCAGGCACGGGTGTCACTCGTTCTCACACTGTTTAAGGAGCACCTGCTGCTCCGTGCATGGCATCGGGCCCAAGAGAAATATCCGGGTCCCAAAGAAAAACGAAACAGAGCCACCCTGCTCTCACAGAAGGCGTCACTCCAGGGACCAGAAACAGGGCAAGGGAAGATAAAACCCTGGCCGACAGAATGCCATGTCATTGTTACACAGCTGCAGGTATTTTTAGCAGGTCCCCGCCCCTATGGAAGAGTTTCTCAGCCGCAGCACCTGTAACGTTTTGGGCCAGAGAACTCTGTGTTGGGGGCCGTTCTGGCCTCTGCTCGCTGGGTGTCAGTGGCACCCCCAGTTGTAAAGGTCGCGACATTGCCAATGTGTCCGGGGAGCAGATTCGCCCGCCTGAGGACCCCGGCTCCAAACAACGACTCCCTTACCTGTTCAGGACTTCGTAAACTTCAGAAAGATTTGAAACCCTTGGGAAATTCAGTTCCTACGATTGTGGAAAACAAATTAGGGAGAATTAAAGATTTGTGCTTTTGTTTATTACCTGCTTCAGGTATTACCAAAGGGCCATTAAAACGGCCTGAAAAACGCTGACTCCCACAGCCGCCGCCTCCTCTCTGATCGTGCTGGTCCTCATCCTTTACGCAGGATGCCAGGGTACCCACTGCCCTCGGACTGGGCTCCTGTAAGGGGCCCGCAACCTAAGCTAGGAAGAGCTGCCACAGACACAGCTCGCACTCTCGCCCTTCAAAGGTGAGGGCTCAGGGGTTCTGGACACACGGGACGCCGAGGCCTCAGACCCGGCCGAGGACACGCATGCGACACACCAGGCACTCTGAGGACCGGAGCAAAGCCAGGTCCCCATGACCTAGAGTCCGTCTCATCTTGAGTGGAAAGGGGCACCATGGGTTCCCTGAGACTGGCCCCACACCCCACCCCTTTGTCCTCGGGACTCGGGTCCACAGAGACAAGCGACCTCACAGAAGGCCGCCAGCGCTAGAAGCATGGGAAGCACAAAAGAGGTGCATCTCCGGGCGAAGGTGCCCCAAGCCCCCAGTCTCGTCCCCACGGCTCCCTCATCGGGTCGTTAACCTCGAGTGGCCAGCATGAGGCTCGAAGACCCCGATCCCACTCCACTTTCCCTGTTCCTCAGTTCAATTCTAAGCAGCATGTAAGTCAGCTGGGTGCTTGCCCCCCCCAAGCACAACAGAACTCACCTGGGAGCTTGGGCAGTCCCACCCCCGCCCTCTAAACCAGGGAGGCTGACAGTAGGGCCCAGGATCTGGCTTCCCAGGCGACCTGAATGGGCTGTGTGGGTTGAAGGCCCGGCGCCTTACGCCCGGGAGAGACGTTTTCTCAAGACTTTTCAAGAGGCGACCCCCGCCCCCAATCCTGATGTCCTTCAAGCATGCTACAAATACCAGGTATGTATCAAGCTCTAGAACAGGTTCCGTGGCCCCATCTAGAGAAGCACATGAACTTGAATGAGTGAAGGAAAAAAATTATGTGTGAGCTGCAATGACCCAGCGGTGCTACAACAGAAAAGGAAACCAGTACTGGCTGTAAGTATGAGAATGAGCAAGGGTTCGAGGAACAATTGTTAAGGAGAGAGGAAGCTGTGGTACTGGGGCAAAGCACCCCTTCACCTACAGCAGCGCCGCCCCTCACCTTCCATATGTCCTTGGTCACGTTTTTGGTGTCGATGAGGACCGGAAACAGCCGGTGGATGTTCCGCTTAAACTGATGGTAGCTCTCTGCGGGGAGAGACCGAGAACGTCGGAGGTGAGTTTGTCGGTAAAACGGGAGGGGAAGTTCTCAGCCTGGTTTGTCACCAGCGGGTTAATAAACGACACAGACTGGGAACCGAAAACATCCTTGCTCCTAAATCACCCAGGCGCTCCACCTCCAAGGCCCGCCTGCCGCCACCATCTGCAGCACGAAAAGCCAAACGGTTTTCCATCAAACTCAGGACGCTTACTGCCAACACCGCTTAACGCAGTTTGCAGAGCTCTAGCCAGTGGAGAGAGAAGAGGGAGGTGTTACTGGGACCCGGACACGAGACCACGGTTGGTTCCGAGGGAAAAACAGCCGGAAGCGTTACAGCGAGGGTCACGTGCCCGATCACGGTTCTTAGCCATCGATGGGCGTGTCTATCAGAAGCACACCTGCGTGCAGTTTAGGGGGTTCGCTGCAAAAACCAACCAACCCCCCTGCCACGTGTGCTCTTCTCCCGATCCGCCCGTCTCCTGCTCCCCAAAGGAGGCTGCTGGCTCCCCTCTTCCCTTTGGAGGCGTCACCCCCGCCCCCCACCTCCAGACGGCAGACTGGCACCAGCAGCCGGTCTCCCAGCTTCAGGGATTCACCCAATCGCTGCCTGCCTTTCAGCCCACGGCCCCAGCCCCGCCCCGAGGCCGCACGCACGCACGCACGCACCCCAGGCTCGGGGCCCGTGCGGGGCTGAGTCTCCAGCGACTTCCTTTCTCGCGGCTTGAGTTGTCCCAGCACGTTTGTTTTGCTGTTGGCATAGTTTCTGAGCACGTGCTCGTTGGCTGTGCCCCCCATTCTCCGATTCCGTTGATATCCCCAAACCGAGGCGCTCTGTCCGTCCGTCTCAGGAGGCCACCTCTCCTAGACAGAACCTCCTCCCCCCATCCCTCTAGACAAGTGCCCTGGGTGTATTTTACTAGCTCAGTTGGTCCCAAACAACCCTGCGAGACCGGTGCTGTGAACATCCCACTTTATCGGCACGGAGACTGAGAACAGGTGTGTCGGCGTGACGCGCTCGAGAACACACACAGGACGAGGGGGCGTGAGGACTCGGCCCGGGGCTCCTACGGGCAGCGCGGCACTCCCGTGGTGGGAGAGTGTGCTGACAGCTGGAAGACAGGGCCACCCAGCCGCTCAGATCACATGCATTGCGTTAACGGCATCGTAAATGCTTTTGGTATGAGGGAAAAAAAAAACCCAAACACAAATACACAGTGTGATGGAATGAGGGAGAACCCACAACACAGGAAAGACCAGTGTCGGGACTAGAGCTGAGATCGCGGGTAGCGTGTCACCCGTTTCCGACTTTGCCAAGTTTCCTACAATGGGACTGTGCACCCTCTGTCATGGGGCAGGAGTGTCAACTCAAACGTAGGCTTTTCCCCGTAAGAAAGTCCCCTGGTCCTCCATGGGGGGGCAGTGGTAAACAGCACCCAGGGCCCGAGCTCCGCAGAGACATTGATAGCAGGATTCCCTCCCAGAGCAGGATTCCGGGCCCAGCCCCTCCCGGGTGGCACACTGAAACCGAAGGCAGGAGAGGGAAGGGCGGGCCCCTACCTGGGAGGGGCCTGAAGAACTTCTCGTGCAGATGCAGCAGGTCCATCATCATATTGTGCCCCACCAGGGGCTGCTTGGAGGAAAGCGACAGGTGAGGGACGTGAAACTTCAGGCACACGAGAGACAGACACCGCGGACAAACAGTCTCTGGCAGAGGGCGTAGCTCTCGGACCCACCGAAACTGTCGCCCCGCGGTAATTCCACCCCCGCCCACCTCCCACCCCCGTGAAAAGTCGTCCGGTTGCTTAAATCCCAGAACAGAAGAAAAGCAGCGAGCAGGGGGGACGTGAGGCCACACTGGACGTCTGAAGGGTGGACCAGACAGACACTCAGTTCCCCAAGCGGTCTCAGGTCCACTAGTACCACGGTCCCCACGTGCCCGAGGGGAGCAGAGGAATGGTAACAATTCGTGTGGCAGTCTTTCCTCAAACCAGTGTCGCGATTGGGTGGAGGCAAGTGAGACCCATAAAGCCAGTGATCAACAAGAAGGAACCACTTCTCTCCAGAAACCTCATTTTACGGTTGGGGGGGTCCCACCCGTGCGACAGCCAGAAACGCAGAAGACTGTCCCCCAACTAAGAATGGAGGAGATGTTTTTCCTACCTTCTGGGCTTTCACCAGCATCTGGAAAAACACGGAAAAGCCCCTGGCGGACAGAAGCAGCTTCTCCTTCCAGCAGCCCTCTTGGTCACAGGAGGCGCCCTCGAGGTACCAGCGATGCTGCTTGCTCGCCTTCTTCACTGTCACCTGAAATGGAAAGGAGGGAGGAGTGCCCCGAATCCTGGCAATGATGCCGAAGAGGCGGTTCCTCATCTTCCAAGGGAAGGGGTGTGGGGGAGAGAGCCACGTTTCCCAGGGGCCGGGGGTGGCTGCAGGGGAGAGAGGGTGGGGCGGCCGGGGGGTGGCCCGCGGCAGGGAGGACTCACCCCGTGGTCCGTCCGCACTGCCTGGATGCCAGGGAGGGCCTGCTTCAGCACCAGCTGGACCGTGAAGGCCTGGAAGCCTACAGCAAGGGGGAGACGGCTCGCACACAGCCCCACTGACCCGCCCTGCCCTCAAGAGAGGCTGGAGGGAGACAGCCGCCGAGAGGAGGGTCCGAGGGAGAAACAGCTCTCAGGTGCGCCAAAGCACCAGGTGCACGGCAGGGCCGGCCCAGCAGCTGCAGCGTGCTAGGGCGCGGTCCAGGGCGGCGGCCTGCAGGTGTGTCTCCAGGCCGGCCACTCTTCCTCTGAGGACCCCGAAGGGTCTTTCTGAGTGTCAATGATGGCTATGGATCGCCACCATGTTAGAAATTAAAACTACACCTTAAGCCCTGGCTGGCGTAGCTCAGTGGATTGAGTGCGGGCTGCAAACCAAAGCATCGCAGGTTTGATTCCCTGTCAGGGCACAAGCCTGGGTTGCAGGCCATGGCCCCCAGCAACCGCACATTGATGTGTGTGTGTGTGTGTGTGTGTGTCTCTCTCTCCCCTTCCCTTCCCTCTCTAAAAGTAAAATAAATAAAACCTTAAAAAAAACCCCAAAAACAACACCTTAAATTTAAGATGGCACAGTTTTCGTTTAAAACAATAAACCCGTTCTCTTGCCCAGGATTTGCGACATTGCGTGTCGGCTGTGTGGAAAATACGGGGGTGCCACGTTCCGCAGACCTCCCAGTGTGCACGCATTTCACCCTAGAGCAACAACCAGGGATGCTCGTGAACGTGGCCCGTGACCTCGTCAGAAAGGCCTCAGGACTGGGGAGCTGGCACGCTCGTGGTGGCAGGCTGGAGTCTTCCAAAACCCCAGGCTGTTTGATTTTTCACCCTCATTCAAGGATACGTTTTATTGATTTTAGAGCGAGAGGAAGGGGGAGAGAGGGAAACATCGGCTGGCTGCCTCCTGTACACACCCCTACTGGGGGTCAAACCCACGACCCAGGTCTGTGTCCTGACGGGGGTCGAGCCCACACCCCTCCCGGAGTGCGGGACGATGCTCCAACTGAGCCGCCCCACCAGGACCCCAGTGCCCACTCCCGACTATGAGCTCCAACGGCACCACCAGCAAACACTGGGAGCTGTGCTCCTTGAAGAGACAGACAGACTTGCTTTTTCCGTTTGAGAAAGTGAATGAAGATACCCAAATCAAAATAACCACAGTCAATTCCTTTAAGTAAGAATAATGCTTCCCTGGCTGGCGTAGCTCAGTGGATTGAGCGCGGGCTGCAAACCAAAGCATTGCAGGTTCGATTCCCAGTCAGGGCACATGCCTGGGTTGCAGGCCATGGCCCCCAGCAACCGCACATTGATGTTTCTCTCTCTCTCTCTCTTTCTCCCTTCCTTTCCTCTCTAAAAATAAATAATATGCAATCTTTAAAAAAAATTTTTTTAAAGTCTAGAAAAAAAAAAGAATAGTGCCGCACGGGGGCGGGGGGAAGGCAGCTAATCCAGCTCTCGACTCAAAAACTTACACGAGCGCTTTCCTTCAAGACAGCCACTGTGCTCCGGCCCGCAGCCGCGCGGTGTCATGCACACTTACTTGTTTACATGCTCGCGCTGACACCCAGAGTGTTTAAAAAGATGAGCAAAGACTGAGATTGAATAAAATTACTACTACTTTCCCTGACCAGTGTGGCTCCGGTTCGATTCCCGGTCAGGGCGCAGGCCTAGACTGCAGGCCAGGTCCCCCGCCAGGGGCGTGCCAGAAGCAACTGATTGGTGTTTCTCCCCCTCTCTTTCTCCCTCCGTTCCCCTCTCCCTAAAAAGAAATAAATAAAATCTTTGGGAAAAAAAAAGAATTATTGCTTCTCTACCAAGAGAGTTGTCAAGTTAAACTGGGCCTCTGTTTTAACAGAACGCAGTGCCCCCAGCAGGCTGATGCTGCGCCTCAATCTGTGCCCAGGTGCCAACGGGTTCACCCACCTGGGCTTTGATACTGTCAGCACAAGTGGCACAACGACAATGGCAAGTGCTGGCCAAGTGACATTTTGACTATACTTTTGACCTCATGGTCCCCTTGGAAAAGGTCTCAGAGGCCCCCGGGGCGCACAGACCTGCCCGGAGGACCACGCCGCTAATCTAGCACTTGGGCACCGTGACTCCGCACCGCTCCGTGGGGGGAAAATTCGGGGACCCACAGAAGCCGACTACAAGTGCACAGGGCACCGGGATGGGGGTGAAAGGGCGGCTCCGAAAGAACCTCACTTCCTCGACCTTGAAGTTCAGAGCAGGTCAAACCGCCTTGGCCTTCCGAACTGCGGTCAGTGCCGTGTCTCGCCCCGAGGACCCCACATTGGCGGGACGGGTGACCCGAGGGAGCAGAGGGCGTGTGACCGTGACCAGAGCGACGCCCGCAGCCACCTGCCTACCAGTGATGCCAGGGAGGGTCATGCAGTCGCCTTCCTCTGCCAGGGCCAGCCACCGCGTCACCTCGTCGATCACCACCTTGATTTGGTCCTTATCCAGGGAACTGCTGGTGGGCACAGGAAAGCAGATGCATGGGGGAAAGGCCGTCGGAGCCCTGAGGCGACGCCACCGTGGGAGTCTTGGCTGCCGCGGCCTCCGGGCTTAACACCAGATCCTGGCAGAAAAACGCGCCCAGAAGAGACCAGTCATTTCCCAAGTCCGGTCCTGCCACGGGGAGCCGAGCCCTTGGCCCGTCCTCTCCCAGCGGTCACAGGAGAACGCGGCCCGCTCTCTGCTCCCCTCGGACACACGGAGGAAAAGGCATGGGTGGCTGGCCCACTGGCCGCACCACTCTCCGGCCCAGCCCGTCTCCCTAACGTGCGCTCGGAGGTGCAAGGCGCCACCATCTGGGCGGCTAAGGAAAAGGCAGGAACTCGGGGAAATGCAGCGTCTCCTGTCTTAGAAATACAAGAACATGATGTTACTTTGAGGTACGGAAAGACTCTTCTCCAACATTTGAAAATAACAGAAGGTTAAAAATTCAAATTGTCCTGGCTGGCGTAGCTCAGTGGATTGAGCGCGGGCTGCAAACCAAAGCGTCGCAGGTTCGATTCCCAGTCAGGGCACATGCCTGGGTTGCAGGCCATGGCCCCCAGCAACAGCACATTGATGTTTCTCTCTCTTTCTCTCTCTCTTTCTTTCTCCCTCCCTTCCCTCCCTAAAAATAAATAAATAAAATTAAAAAAAAATTAAAATTGTTTTTTCCCTTACAAAAAGCTACATTTCTGTGTGAAAATCACAAACAAGGAGTTAAAAAAATATAAACCCAAACTCCACCATTACGTGAGATCGTGATGGAGACGGAATAACTAAGCACAGCATTCCAGAGTTAGAAGCTGTGTCACTGCGCCCGCCCCCTGATGAAGGCAGGAAGAGCTTCAATCACTTGCTCAAAGGCAGACAACTGAAGGCGGGGCCAGCCTGGGACCCGGTGGCCTGCCCCTTCTGCCACCCACCACCCCTCCCCCTGCCCTATGGGACCTCTGTGGGAGGGCAGGGACTCGAGTATGACCTCTGGCACTGGGGCCGAAGGAAAAAAGGCAGAAGTCCTGCCCTCGGGGAACACAGCAGGCTCCGAGTTGAGGCATACAGCCGGCACAGTCAAGGTCGCCCGTGATGCACCCTGAGAGACCCCTAAGGTCACACTGAAGGCCAACGTGCCATGTCACGCTGCGTCCACCGGAGCCATCCTCCCCGCCGCACTGGAGTGGAGTTCCTGCTTCCTTGAGAACCAGTTTAAGAGGTGGTTCTTTTTCCGTTTGCTCTTCATCTTTGAACACTGACCTCACAGCCAACGCAGGGGGAGGTCTCGGCGAGGTCGGACGGAGCACAGGCTGCAGAAGCGTCCCCGGCCCCCGCGGAGGGTGCGCGCCCACCCGCACGAGACGCAGAGCAACGCCAGGCGCAGAGAAACCCGCCGAGCCCCCGGAGAAACGGGCTCTACCTGCGAACTCTCCAGTTCCCGGTCAGGATGCTGTGCTTGATGATCTTCTCCTGTTCTTCGTTCATGTAGGGGATTCCGTTTTTGAGAAACTAGAGACGGGAAGAGACAGGAGTCGGGTAGCGTCATCCTCTGTGCCGGGGAGCGGAGTGGAAGGAAGGCTTTCCCGGTTTCATGCGGATGCGAGGGGCCGGAAACGGGGTGCGGAGACGCTCGGGCCAGCTCCCCCTCCCGCCTCCCCGTGCCCTCCCGCAGGGCCATGCGTACCTTGTTGTAGTCAAAGCCATACTGATTCAAAAACTGAACACTAGAAGCCTGGAAAGAGAATTCCGAGTCCAAAATCCCAAACGTTGTGGGGAAGAGAAAGAAGTTATATGAATGGGCTACGTACCTATGGGAAAAGAGTAAACATAAGGAGAAAAAGCCACATGCATTTTTAAAGCTCTGGCTCGGAGCCGGCTTCAGAGAGGGCTCTTTCCAGCACTCTGTCTGGCCCTGGGGGTCAGTGAAAAAAGGCAGACATCCCGCCCTTGAAGGACAGGGTCCACCCCTCATGGCTGAGCCCGACGGGAGACTCTGGACAGCGTCCCTGCTGGCCGTCGGTGCCTGGGGGCCTCATCGCCCCCAGTGTAACCCAGTGTCCGTGGCTATCGTGAAGGGGCACGCAGGCGACCACGGAAACAGGGAGAGGGGTGTGCGTAAGGTGCATGTCTGGGGGAAGGAAGGGCCCCCAGAAAAGGTGTTGCTTCGAGAGACTTGGAGGACAAGCCGGAGTCTTCGGGGAAGGGAGCAAACGCGAGGGCACAGAAGCGGGGGGATACGGGGGTCCAGGCCCAAAGTGGTTCAGAGCCCGAGCAGATCTGGGGGAGCAGCAGGTGGAGAGGAGCTGCATGTGTTGCGAAGGGCTTTATACATACTTGTTTGGCTCTCCTTGGACGCTGCAGAACACAGACAGTCCTGGGGAACGACAGCAGGGGAGGGGAGGTGAGTGCCGGGAAGGGCTACCGGGAGCTAGCTCTCATGCTACAGCAAAACGTTCTGAACAGCACTTTGCTTTCAGAAAACTGTGTGGGCTTTAGGAGAAGATAAACTCTTTTAAAAAAGAAAAAGAGGCCCTGGCTGGCGTAGCTCAATGGATTGAGCACGGGCTGCGAACCAAAGCATCGCAGGTTCGATTCCCAGTCAGGGCACACGCCTGGGTTGCAGGCCACGGCCCCCAGCAACTGCACATTGATGTTTCTCTCTCTCTCTTTCTCCCTCCCTTCCCTCTCTAAAAGTTAGTAAGTAAAATCTTAAAAAAAAAAAAAAGAAAGAAAAAGAGGAGGCAGCGGAGGAGATACATTCAAACTATGAGCTGTCAAACTGTTACGCTGAAGTTACTAAAATATAATTGTGGATGGTTCTTCACACAGAAGTCAAATTAAACAGACGTTTTATAGTTTCAAAGCTAACCAGAGGAAACACCTAAAACCATGACAATTTATATATTTAATTGCTTTAACGTGTCTGTATTGTTCAAAAGACCACATACTAAGTCGAAAAGACTTCCAAGTAGCGGGACAGCAATAGAACCAGATCTATTTCCCCCACTTTTCGAAGAGGGCTTACAACCAAGTACAACCACCACAACAGAAATAACCAAGGACAAAGATACAGAGCAACACACACGGATGCCAGCGTCATTCACAGGAAAAGCAAGGGTCAGTAAAACCGGTCAGGGCCTGTAGTTACAAATAAAGTTTTATTGGATGACAGCCACGCTCCTTCATTTAGATACTATCTAAGGCTGATTTCCCATTATCAATGGCAACATTGACTAGTTGTAACAGACTGTATGGTCTCCACAACGTGATACATTTACTGAACAGCCCTTTGCGGAAAAAGTGTGTTGACACTGCATTAAAAACGGGAATCAATTGAACAATCACATCACGTCTCCTCTATTACGAGGCGGACACAAGAATTCAAGACGACAGTAGCCAGTGTGAGGGAGGGGACAGGCTCAGTCACTGCTGTCGGTGTGAGTCGCTGAACTGAGCGGGCGCCTGGTCGCAGGAGGAACAGGTCGGCGACACGGGTCCAGGCTTTATAGCACACACTTGAACTCTGCCACTCCGCTGCTGGAGGCACTCCAAACACACTTGCTCACGAAGTACAGGAAGGTATAAATACTAAGACAGTCTGTGCCACCTGGTTTTTTGTGTTTGTTTTTCATTTATTCGTTTTCGAGAGCGAGAGAGGAAGGAAGCGAGGGAGAAACAGCGATGCGTTGTTTGGCTTATGCACGCACTCACGGGGCGCGCCTGGCTTTATCCCGAACGGTAACCCAAGTGCACGTCACCAGGGAGCGGAGTCTGCAGAGCCGTGCCTGGCTTGGAACACCACTGTTCAGAGTGGACAAGGGGTCTGCGGGGGCTGGTATTACAAAGATCTCTAAACCAAAACGATGCAGAAAACAGAAAGATGCAGAAAAACATGTGGGCAGGATGCTCTTGTTGGCATGTTTTCTCTAAGCAAAAACCACACGCATCTTTCCCTGAAGGATGGTACCGGCTCCGCAACGCTGATGTGTTTCGGCACGGAGCTTCTGCTGCTGAACCAATGTCTGCTTACACCACAATGTTAGGTCTGACAGGCGCGACCAGAAACCAAACAAGCATATGAAATCACAGCTGGGTTCTTTGGAAGGTGTCAAAGCTGTTTGATCAGTAAGAAACATCCCTGGCTGGTATGGCTCAGTGGATTGAGTGTGGGCCTGCGAACCAAAGGGTCACTGGTTCGATTCCCAGTCAGGGCACATGTCTGGGTTGCAGGCCAGGTCCCCAGTAGAGGGCGAGTGAAAAAGGCAACCACACGCCCTGGCTGGAGTAGCTCAGTGGATTGAGCGCGGGCTGGGAACCAAAGTGTCCCAGGTTCGATTCCCAGCCAGGGTACATTCCTGGGTTGCAGGCCAGAACCCCTAGCAACCGCACATGGATGTTTCTCTCTCTCTCTCTCTCTCTCTCTCTCTCTCTCTCCCTCTCCCTCTCTCTCCCCTCCCTTCCCTCTCTAAAAATAAATAAATAAATAAAGTCTTAAAAAAAAAGAAAATATTTCAAAAAAAAAAAGGCAACCACACACTGATGTTTCTCTCCCTCTGTTTCTCCCTCCCTTCCCCTCTGTCTAAAATTAAATAAATAAAATCTCAAAAAAACAAAGAACCACAAAGACAGTAAAAGTACCCCTCCTAGTAATCGTGACCAACAGCTGAAGATTGGACTCACCAATCTGGCAGATCGTAAACTGCCGAGCACTCCGCCGGGCCTTCAGATACCACTCGGACGGCAAGTCGAAAAGGCTGTGAAAACACCGGCGTCTCATCCCTTAGGCAATGGCAGGGCAGCAAGGCGCCGGCCTCCGCGCCTCTCCACTGGTTTGCCTTGTTCCAGCTGGGGAGCGCTCCTAGCATTCGGTGGACAAGGCCAGGTCCCCAGAACCCCACATAAAGTAGCGTCCTGCCCGCCCAGTGCCAACAAGTGCTTGCTGAGAAACAACGCTGATGTGGCCAGGGTGCCACCCAGAGGGGCGTGGAGTGTAGGCCTGAGAACCAAAGGGTCGCTGGTTCGATTCCCAGTCAGGGCACATGCCTGGGTTGCAGGCCAGGTCCTCTCTCACTCAGCTCTGAGGCAGCTTTAGCTTTACCTGATCTGCTGAGGCCCAGACAGGCTGGTGCGGAGGCCCGTGAACTCTATGTCCAGACCTGCAGGGAAGGCAAAAAAGACCAGAGTCCCCAGGCATAGACCCCCTGTCTCAGCTCTGAACGCTGCAGGCGGGAGACTGACCCCTTGGCTCACCTTCTTTGTACTCAACAGGCCAGGTGAGTTCAGAAAGGGGAAACGGAGGGAGCCAAAGCAAGGACAAGCCAGTTGCTTGGGCTCAGCTCCATCCGGACCATGCGCGGCCGAGGGGGTAACTGCTGTTTGGCACGCCCTTGGCCAGGCCTAGCAGGAACCTCTCACTTGGAGCCTCCCGAGGCCTAGAGACAGTCTCAGCCAGACGGCCCCACCTCTCCGGCCCCACCTCTCCGCCCCCTCCGCCCCCTCCGCCCACACCACACCCTCCGCCGGCTCTCTCAGCCCAGAGGGCCGCTGCGACAAGGCCGGATCCTCGCGCCTTACCCACGAAGTCCGCGCCCAGGACAAGCTCCTGCAGCCGAGGGAGGCGCTGCTCGAACTCGTCGGCGCCCACGTCCATGGTCACGCAGCCACGCAGCGCGGCCGAGGTCACCCAAAGCGGCCACGCGCTTCCACCGCGCCGCGGGCCTTAAAGGGCTCGCGCAGGAAACGGGCCGCCCCCGCGCCCCCCGGAACCTGCGGATTGGGCTGCTGGCCGGCGCACACCTCCCGCCTGCTCTTAGGTGTTTGCTGTGCAGGCTACGAGGAGTCGCTTAGATTCGCCTTTGCAGTCAAAGTCCACCTACCCTGCTCTGCCGCAGTTTCTTTGCGGTCACGACAAAATACCCAGACCTAGAATGTTAAGCCTGAAAAACAGCGAAACCAAGACATGAACGGCCCCCACCCCCACCCCCGCCGGAAGAAGTGCAGTAAGCTGATAATGCAGGTGCGCCCTGGGGCGGGCGGGGGGGGGGGGGGCTGGTGGCACCGTTGCAGAGGCCACACCTCGCCCGTTTCCTAAATCAACACTTCTTCCCAACCCGGCGTCCTTGCCGGTATTGGCCTGTTCCCATCCCCTCCCCTACACCCCATCTTTTCTTCACTTTATTTTGCATCATCATTGTCCGTTTACTGATTGATTGACTGATTGATTGATTTCAGAGAGCCAGAGGGGAAGGGAGAGACATCGATGTTGTCGCTCCCCTTGTTCACGCAGTCACTGGTCGTTTCCTGTACGTGCCCTGAGCTGAGATCCAAGCTGCATCCTTGCGGTACAGGGTGGATGCGCTAACCCAGGGAGCTGCTGGGCCAGGGCGGCATCGTCACCGTCTTTAATGCCTCGTGTCAGCCGCCAGGAGAGCTCCAAGAACTGCCAATCAAACTGAAGGAGTCCTAGACACAATAACTAGAACAATGGTTCTCCCCGCAGGGGAAAGTCCCCACCTACGGCATCACTCACAGGTGAGTCCTGTCTCCTCATTACCTATCTCCAAAGCCCCTTGTCCTTGCCGTGGTTTTTTTTATACCTTCCCTCGAAGTCAAGACTTGACCGAACAGCCGTCTAGAGAACCGTGACTTTCAAAGTGAGGGAAAATGGAGACAACGGTACTTGAATCACAATAAAAAATGTGGAAAATAATAAAAATGTAAAAAAAAGAGAAATAATAACGTGTAGAATTAGTTTGCAGAAGACAGAATCCACGAAGCTTGTATAATACAGATACATGCACTGTAAACTCCATAAAAAAGCGAGGCGCCCCAATCAGTCTTCGGGGCGAGGTCAGAGAACAGCAGAACTGTCACATGGACATCCCAACGCCTTCCCTGGGGTACTCAGCGACCAAAAGGGGGATAAGCCATTGCGCTCCGAAGGCCTCTCAGGATCCGTTATACTGTTTGAAAGTGTTGGTGCGTGCGTATTTATTTTCTTTAACATACAGACTGAATACCCAGACTGACACTATAACGTTATTTCACACCTATATAATTAATCGGCTACGCATTTACTGGGCAGAGGGAAATGCTCTGGACGCCACCTGAACTGTTTCCAGTGCTCCCTCCTCGCACCTCACCTGATTCAGTCAACACCTTTCAGAGGACTGCGGGGACTCCCACCCACCCTTCTCCGGCTTCCGGTCACCCTGAATGCGCTCCAAGCTTTGTCTCCTATACGACCAGCGTCCACTCTGAGCCGAATCCAGAACACACTCACCTTGTCCATCCCACCCCCGTTCTCAGTGCCTTGTTGCAAGCCTCTGTCCCTTCCCGTCGGGTTCTGCCTGCTAGGGTCCGGGGGCCCCACTGAGGTTAGAACGCGCCCCTTTCTCCGCACATCGCTGTTGGTAACCAACCGGCACGGACATCTCACATTGTAAAAGCCACCTCCGCACCCTGAGCAGCATAGGCTGCCGTTCAGACCGCCCACCGGGAGCTGGACACGGCAGCAAGCGCTCCGCGTGAACCCCGCATGTGCACGCTTGCCAGAGCGAGCCGGAAAAGGGAAGAAATTTCATATAACCAGAAGCTGGGAGTTCAGAATGTGCCTTTATTCTTTAACATACAAACATTTAACGTGAACTTCGAAAGTTAATTGTAATGGGTGACAGCTTCCTCGGACACTCCCCTGAGGCGCCAGCCCCACGCACGCGAGGGAAGGGGGGCCGAGCCTGACTGCGGACACCTTTCTGCAGGTACGTTATCGCGGGACATTTTCTTTCCAGCCGGCTGCTCTGTCCGGACGGGCTCTGCCGACGGATGGATGCGCGGACGGCCGGACATGCACGCGGTCCGAACGAGGCCTCTCCCTCACTCGTACCTCCTCCGAGGCTCCCGCAGCACCACGCCGCCTTCGGTCAGCGCGCTCTGCAGTCGCTGCATCTGGGTTTAAGGCCAGAAAAACAACAGGCTGAGGTGCAAGAAACCAGCTCACCACGAGGGAGCCGACAACACACAGGCCGCTTCCGGAGGGAAGGAGACGTGAACCCCTGGTTTGCTCGTTGCTGACTGCCCCCCCACCCCCCGCCATACCGGCTTTCCAGAGAGTGGTCTTTAAATCATCACAGAGATAAGGAAAAAGGGTGTAGACGTGTCAAGGACGTCAAGCAGTATTTTAAAACTGTACAGACAAGGAGTTGGTGTGTGAACAGGGAAGCAGAGCGGCCAGCGTCGTGGCCATAACAGTCCCCGCGAGTGTGAAACCTCCTCTACGGCGACACCAGGCTGCCCGCCTCCAGCACGCGCCCCGCGTGCAGAGCGGAGAACCCTGGTCTCGCCCCGTGGGCTGCTGGGAGGGTGAGGTCAGGTGACGCTCGTCAGGATACTTGCCTCTGAGTCTGACGCATGAAAAGAGCTTGAAATATGGAACAACTGCTACTACTATGCAAGTTTCTAATGTCAAGAATGAACAAAATTAGCCCTGGCTGGCGTAGCTCAGTGGATTGAGCACGGGCTTTGAACCAAAGTGTCGCAGGTTCCATTCCCAGTCAGGGCACATGCCTGGGTTGCAGGCCACGGCCCCCAGCAACTGCACATTGATGTTTCTTTCTCTCTCTCTCTCTCTCTCTCTCTCTCTCTCTCTCTCTCTCTCCCTCCCTCCCTTCTCTAAAAATAAATAAATAAAATCTTAAAAAAAAAAAAAGACTGAGCACAACTAAATTAGCACGTGCAAACAAAGATACCGCGTCCGAGGCTGCCTCCCACGGAGTCGGCTGGTAGACCATGAAGTGGATGCCCGCCTCCAGGCACCGTTCTGCCAGCACCCGCCCCACGCTCTCGCAGGCCACCACGTTTCGGGTGCTGTAAAGGTGCTTCTTAATGGCCCATTCGCGCGTGGACGCGGAAACCACAGCCTGGCCATTGGGGCGCTCAACAAGTGCTTCCACGTGATGCTGAGTCCTTATCACTCGCAGCCTGAGTGAGGAAAGGAGAGCAACATCATGAAGGAATCCTGAGGATAAGCGACCTCAGGGGAACGCAGGCCTAAACATTGTGCTCATTTACTGCAACGCACTTGACCTGGACTTCACTTGGGAGAGGTACTTTTCCTCTGCTTCGGTGAGGATATCCTCACTAATAAATAAATAAACCATACACTTCCACTCAACCTCAAACATCGAAGAGAAATTTGGTGCTTCTGAGAGTGGAGATCTATGTACCCAGCATCTTTGTCAAAAAGGGTTTGAGGTGGCAAAGCTAAGCTGCTGCCCCTACACAGGGTACAGACAAATTTAACTCTAAGCTTTTATGTTCCGGCTAACGCCAAAATAAATACAAGATGGATCAAAGACTTAAGTGCATGTGAAGCCACCAGCATGGTTCCTGGTAAACAGAAAGTGTTCGATAAATAACCATCTTTATAACAAAGAGAGTCCTGAACGGTCTTCTCGCTTCCACCCTTCCCCTTAAAAATGTGTTCTCCCTTAACCAAAACGATTTAATTTGAATTCAGGCTCAAACTTGAAATCCTCTCTCAGCTTCTCACTGCAGTGAAAATAAAGTCTAGGCCCTGGCTGGTGTAGCTCAGTAGATTGAGCGCAGGCTGTGAACCAAAGTGTCGCAGGTTCGATTCCCAGTCAGGGCACATGCCTGGGCTGCAGGCCATGACCCCCAGCAACTGCACATTGATGTTTCTCTCTCTCTCTCTCCCTCCCTTCCCTCTCTAAAAATAAATAAATAAAATCTTAAAAAATAATAATTAAAAAAAAAAGAAAATAAAGTCTAAAGTGCTTACTCCGACTGGCAATCTGAAGTTCACAATCTGTGCCCCACCGACCTCTGCACTTTCATCTGACACCGTCCATCCCCTCCTTTGTCCACTGAGGTCCTCACACACCCACGCTACCGTGTCCGCTGCTGTCAGTGCTCTTCTTGGCAGAAAACTGGGCTTTTTCCTGGCTTTCAGAGGGGCTTTCGTAGGCACCCAGCCCCCCATTCCCCCGCCACCCTCTTTCCGTTTTCTCCCTCTGACACCCACTCGTCGCGGGTCGGCCCCTCTCCCTCCCGAGCCCCTCCTCCACCCGCCGCAGCGCACCTTCCTTAGGAGCGAGTCCGCAGCGGTACCCGGCCCTGAACCAAGGGACGAGGACAACGCGTGGGGCGCCGCGCGTGCCTCTGTCGGTCGGTCACGAGCAGAGTGAACTACCTGTGCCAGAACTCGCGGGAGGGCCACACCGTCCGCCAGCCCCGCTCCTTCCTGGCCACGGCTAACAGTTCCAGGTTCCGGGGGTTCCGGTTGGTGAACTCCGGGGCCACCGCTTCGTTTCCCAGGGGGTCCGCTTCGGGCTTCGCCTCTGGCTTGGAACTGGTTGACAGCGCCGCGACCCCACGCCCTACGAATGGACGCAACCAGGTGTGTCTTCAAATGTAACGAGTACGGACAAAACAGGAGTATTCCCATCCACTGCCCCCCATCTTCGCGCCCTGGAAGGTGTGCTTGGCCACGGGAGGTAGCCATCTCAGACCCCGGTCGCTAAAATCTCCTACGACTGTCATCACAGTGCCGTTAGCTCGTTCACCCTTCCATGGGGCGTGCTGGACATGCAATAATACCACTTGCACACGCACGTTACTGTGCAGGCTCCGGGGAGTAAATCTCAGAGAAGTGAGCAGGTTAGTTACCGGGGTTCCTGCAGACCGACAACACCTCCCAGAACCGTGACCGAAGCGCCATCGCTGAGAGGATCGTGGCCAAAGCCTAGGAAAAGCTTAGCCTCCTTTCCTCACCCGCGACCCCGCCGCTCGCCGGCCGCAGCCATATTAACTGAGGGAAAAACCTTCAGGCCGCGTCGGTCATGCACGCCTCCACCCGGAACTAACCTCCCTTCCACTGAGTGGCTGAGAGGACCATCTGTTATCTCCGCCCCTCCAATCATCTTACGCTGGGGTGCACGCCGCCGCCAGAGCCGACCAACCACTCCGCAGTAACGCACTAGAAGGTGGGCGCGACCGGTTCTTTTACACCACGCTTCTTACAGCTTTTTGTCGGGTCCCACACAAGGAACCCGTAGCTTCAGGCTACCTTATTTGGGCCCTCTGATCGCAGAGCTTGGGACACACACCCGGTGGGCACGGAGAGGGAGTGGGGCAGAGCAAGATGCACAGTTTTCAGGAAGAGTGGCTGTCATTTTGCGGGGGTGAGGAGACGAGGCGGGGGGGCGTGGCCCATGGATAGCTTTGCCCCGTCCCACCCTGGACCAAGCTTACACTCGGAGAGCAGGAACAAAGCCTGTGACTTGCGTGCTCTAGGAGCAAGTTCCTACATTTTAGGACAAGGAAAACAGGTACTGTATAAACCAGCGATTTGCAACCGGCGTGCAAGATTTCTAACCTGCTCACTCCTGGGCACTGACCTCTTTCCTTTAGACGGTCAAATTAAAAATTGCTAACAGCCAACAGAAAAACAGCTGTCTGATATGAATGAATCAAAATTTCCCTTTTTGTTAGGTGGTCAAGAAGTGTATTTTTAAGTGTGTTGCAGAACTTTAGATTATGTGTGCCAAGAGATGGAAAAAGTTGAAAATCGCTGTTAAATAAATTAAGACACAAATCGAGCTTGGAAGCCCAGCTCTGACTGTGAGAGGGGCCCGCCCCTCCCCTCCCGTCGCACTCTAAGCTCCGCCCCACTGTGTGCTACCTCTTCTAGAAGGCGCTGGAATGTACAATTGTGCATGCGCAACAAAGCACCATCTTCGCGCCCTCCAGGATCCTGACTTCCGTTCTACCTTTTGGGGCCTTTCTCATTCGTTCTCGAACTGAGCGGAAGTGCTGAACCCGCCCCCTCGCGGCTCCTCACTTCCTGCTCATTCACGCTTCTCGGCCCCCCTCCCCTCCTTTCTTTCCCGCCCTGCCCCGCGGCGGCGCCGGGGTTCTGGGGAGAGTGGAGCAGTGTTCCCGGCAGCCCCTGCGGCAGCGCCTGGGCTCCTTCCACGCCGTTGCTACCTCCAGCCGCTGGTGTGGCGGCTACCCGGCCTAGGGACCGAGACGCTAGTTGTCCGCGGTGTGAGTGAAACCCGAGGTGTACCCTGCCGCGAAGATGGAGGGGCCTTTGTCCGTGTTCGGGGACCGCAGCACTGGGGAGACGATCCGCTCCCAGAACGGTAAGGACGGACCAGGCCTGGGTTGGGCCGACGTGGTGCGCTCCCCCCTCCCCTAGCCCGCCCGGCTTGGGCCGTGGCTGCTGTCCTTGTGCTTTCTTTCTCTCCCCCCAAAAAAGGGTCTAGGGGTTGGGGTACATGTCCTACCCTCGCCGGTCTCAGCACTTCTTCGGGGGTGGGCGGCGCGGCGCGTTCCCGAGAACCGCGCGGCGTGGGAGTGGTGGGTGTGGGTGCCCAGGCTCTGGCGTAGAGAAAGCGAGCCCCGGTACTGACGCGTGCCCGGGGTCCCCTTGGGTTGCTCTGATCCCCTTTTGTTCCGAGTCTGACCACGAGGAGCGGCTCGTTTTGGGACCATTAACCAGAAAGTAGTGGTTCCAATTGCTCGTGTTACCGATGAGCTAATGGCCACCGTTCTGACGACCTGCCCCTGGTACCCTCCCGGTTGCCATCTGCAGTAGATGCCGGGTGCCGGATGTCCCGATCCAGTTCTTACCCCACCTGTCGCCGACGGCTTTTTGAAATGAAAAGATAGCCGACGAAGTTTTAGTTGAATGTTAGCATAAGGGTACTTAAAGTGAATTTATTCTGGTGAACATTGGCACGCATTACAGCGTTTGTTGTTGAGCCTCTTTTGAGAGCCTTTGCCATTTGAAGTCATGGGTGGCTGCCTGTCCATCTTAGCCTTATTTGATGGATTATTAATTTTTGTCTTAGATGAATTCTCAATAAAGTCAGAACCCTGGGATTCCCACTTTCCTGAATGATATTTTTTTAATGTGCTAATTACTGAAGAAGAAGGCTGGTATAGTGTATCTATCTACCCCCCCCCCCCTTAGGTGGCCAAACCTGAAATTATGACTAGTAGATTACCTTTTTATTTTAGGTAATCAGGAAAGATTTTGTTGATTTGGAAAATTCAGAGACTGTTAAATGTCGTATACTTTCTTGACACCCAAATGATTGCCATTTGAAGGAGTGGATTTTTCTAATTCCATTATTTCGTTCCTACAGTTATGGCTGCAGCCTCTATTGCCAATATTGTAAAAAGTTCTCTTGGACCAGTTGGCTTGGATAAAATGTTGGTGGATGATATTGGTGTAAGTACACCTAGATGTTTCTTTAAGTTAAAAAGATCTTAACTACTTGCTGTGTAAATTACTTGTTTTTAATCAGAGTGCTGGTGTTGGAAGGTATAGTAAAGGTGAACGTATATATGTTTTAACAGAATGTGTGTTGTGTTCATTAGAATGTTCTGTTTCTGTGGATGATTGTTTATTTTTTCTTCCCTGCAAATTCCTCAGGATGTAACCATTACTAATGATGGTGCGACCATCCTGAAGTTACTGGAGGTCGAACATCCTGCAGCCAAAGTCCTCTGTGAGCTGGCCGATCTGCAAGACAAGGAAGTGGGAGACGGGACCACCTCCGTGGTAGGTAGTCACCTGGCAGACCACCCGAGACTGGTTTTCCTAGGTCAGGCTTTCAGAGAGTGAACCATAGTAAGGCGTTCGCTTCTGAGTTAGAAGTAGGTTACATACATCAGAGGGAGAAAATTTAACTTGTTTTTTTGGTACCGATTTAGAAACAAAGTTCGCAAAAATTGAGGGTTGTAGCTAGTTTGCACAATTTAAATAGAAAATAAACATGATTTAATATGGTCCCCTCATTTATGGTCCCCTGCCCCATGACCTGAGACTTAGAAATGTCTAAAACCTTCCCTTTATAATTATCTGAAGAAGACAGTCTCACTGGTTTTTAAAAACAAGATGTTTTTCATGTTCTAAGTGTTGACAGGGCATTCTCACGAGCGCACAGTGGGAGTGCAGGAAGTCAGTGAACACGTGACCAATGGCGTGCTGTAAACGTGGGGGCCAGCCAGCCAGCACGTCGGTGTAGAAACACTTTTTGGGTGAAGAACAGATGATTTGCTCTAAAAAAAAATGTGTTGTGGCCACAAAAGAATGGAATCTACCTCTTCTAAAATAATAAAATGGGTTTTTGTACAAGGAGCTTATTTATGATAATAGGATTTTTTAAATAAAATTATAATATGCCCTTAAAGAAGTGGTATTTTTGAAGCCTTTCTGATGTAAAAAATTTTAGTGCTTTTTAATGATTTTTATTTATTTTTAAAGCATTTTTTTAATCCTCATCCAAGGACATTTTTTTCATTGCTTTTAGATTTTACTTTATCTCTTCAGAGAGGGGAAGGGAAGGAGAAAAACACCAATTGGTTGCCTCTCACATGCGCACAACCCAAGCATGTGCCCTGGCTGGGGGGTCAGACCTGTGGCTTCTCAGTTTTCGGGATGACTCCCAACCCACTGAGCCACGCCAGCCAAGGCTTTAAATGGCTTTTAAAATAAGCCAAGCAATAACAACCTAAGGCAGTACAGGTCATCTGAGCAGTCGGGCTCCTCACTCAGCGTCCGTCGGACGCCGGCCAAGGCAGCGGATGTGTAGTCCTTCACTGCCGTGCTGCAGAGCCAGGTTTTGGCTGGGACGTGTTCCTTGCTCTCACTTGGCTTTGGCCATTTGTATGTGAAACGCTGCAGACTTCCTCTTCTCGGGTGTCTAACTAGTTACTCATCTCACTGCCGTCGCGATTCTGCTTAGCGTCTGATGGTCGTGGTGCCCAGCCGTCACTGCACACGGTGAGTGTCGGGCGGCTGTGAGAGCGGTGCGCGTTTCCCGACAGGTCATTATCGCGGCGGAGCTGCTGAAAAACGCAGATGAGCTAGTCAAACAGAAAATTCACCCCACCTCCGTCATTAGCGGCTATCGGCTTGCTTGCAAGTAAGATTGTTTGCACTCAGAGAAAATTTTACATTATTTTGCTAAAATCATTGTAAACATTTAAAAATGTCTCGTTAATGACTGTGCTTTATTTTGAAAAACGTGTATTTTGGCATTTAATGAGTATTTGAGGTGAGTAGGGCCAGGGTGTTTTCTTCCCGTCTGACTACCACAGTTTCTCCTGAGGGTAGATCTTGGTGGCTATGCTTACGGGATGGAGCCAGGCGGCCGGGGTCTGCAGAGGGAGGGTCTGTCCGTGTCCTCCTCCTCCACGAAGTGGCTGCACAGAGCACTGTGCCGCTGGCCCTTGACACGGTGATAGAACAAGGGTTTGGATGGGAAGTTAATTTTCGTTTTCTCTCGCACACTGTCAACAGGGAAGCAGTGCGTTACATCAGTGAAAACCTAATTATTAACACAGATGAACTGGGAAGAGATTGCCTGATTAATGCTGCTAAGACATCGATGTCGTCCAAAATCATTGAAATGTATCCTTGAGGTCCAGTACAGTTGAGGCTTTTTAAAAAGACCTGCGTTAGTTTTCATGCGAGGTGACACTGTATAGAAATTCCTGTTTTCTTCCCTGCTCTTCTGGGCGGGGCGGTAATATACAGTGTTTGTGGGAGTAGTGTGAGTTGCGGATAGCGATAACAGTATAGTAGCATTTTGGTGGTGTTAATAATGCTTGTTTCCTTGCTGAGATTTCAAAAAGGAAGTGCCTTTGAATTACCCTTGACTTTCATGTGCACCTGCTGTCCATTCCAAGTCTCTTGCTCTCCTTAACCGTTGTTGCCTTAGAAATGGCGACTTCTTCGCTAACATGGTGGTAGATGCTGTGCTCGCTGTGAAGTACACGGATGTGCGGGGCCAGCCTCGCTATCCGGTCAACTCCATCAACATTCTGAAAGCCCACGGGCGAAGCCAGGTGGAGAGTATGCTCATCAGCGGCTACGCGCTCAACTGCGTGGTGGGGTCGCAGGGTAAGGCTCGGGGTTCGGTCACATGGTGAGGGGACTGGCGGTTAAAATAGCTTTTTTTGTAGACTGCATATACCGATCATCTCCAGGTGAACTGTCCAAGCTGTGCACTTACTGCATCACGTGCAGTAAGTGTACATCACGTTTCTCTTTAGTGACTTAAGCACATAGCTTAGGAAAAATGCAAGTTGGAGGACAGTACATGTGTTTAATACCATAAAAACGTGTTCGTAATGTTAAATGTAATGATCTAAATTTGTGTTTATGTATAGCTTAGTTTAAACTTTGCTACTCTATTATGCTTTGTGTCTAGGTATATGTTATCAAGTGTGTTAATAGTTGTTACAAAGGAACTTAATATTATGTTTAATTATAGGCATGCCCAAGAGAATAGTTAATGCAAAAATTGCTTGCCTTGACTTCAGCCTGCAGAAAACAAAAATGAAGCTTGGTGTACAGGTGGTTATTACAGACCCTGAAAAACTGGACCAGATTAGACAGAGGTACGTTGAGAAATTATTTTGGACCTCTGAAAAGAGGTGTTTGTAAACTGCTTCTGCTAGAGCAGGCGACAGGAACCGGAAAAGAAGGAGGGCCGCGTGTAGTAGCTCATGTGCTTGCCTAGACCAGTAGCGGAGGCACCGAGCGAGCAGCACGCTGCGCTGTGCTCCGCCCGCGTGCCAGGCAGGTGCTCGGGTGCAGATGGCGGCATCGATGATTGGCACGCTAGGGACCTAGTCAGGTAATGGTAAGTTTTTAATGGTTCGCCGCTTAGTGGTTGTTTGTTTGTTTTTAGTAACTGAACCAAATCTTCAGGAAATCTCTTCCAAGAGTCAGGAATGCCCTCATCTTTTAAATCTTTTCAATCTGACTGCAATCTGACCTCTCGTTCCTGACGTAACAGGAAGTGTCCTCCCGTGAAAGGCCAGTCCTTCTACACTAAGTGTTCCGGACTCCCTCTGCCTTAGAGCCCTGGTTCACTGATCGTTTTCTCATCTGTGTCTTCAGCTCCCAGGTCTGCTCTTCATTCCTCTCAGATTCCACCTGTAGCTCACGCATTGTGCTCCAGTTCCTCCCCATCCTTCTCCACCGCTTTACAGCCAGGTGTCTCAAGAGGGGTTTATACAGAAACGTGCCTGGCGCTTTCTCTTACTTTTACAGCTCTGTTCTCCAGCAGAAGACCACTTGCCAGGGTCACTGGTGACTGAGAGCAATTCACTAGACACTTTCAACCTTCACTTGACCTTTATCAAGCCTTTGGCTCCTTCCTTGAAACTCTTGAGGGAGGAGAGGCTTTGACACTGCCTCATCTGTATTCCCGGGCGCCTGCTGCCTCGCTGGTCTTCCCAGGATCGCTCCTCCTCCCCGAGATCTCGGTGGTTCAGAGACGCCCAAGTCTATTTCTCTGAGCTCCAAACACTCATGTATTTGTCTAGCTGGATGTTTTTTAAGCATCTCAAAGTCATGTCTGAAACCAAAATTGTGATGATACACAATCTGCTCTTGGTTTAGTGATGGGTACCCCTCTACTAAGGCAGAACACTAGAAAATATCTTTAACTCTTTCTTTTTTTAATCTGGTAACTTTTTTCCCTTTTAATTTTTCACCAAGACCACTTGATTTATGCCTTCAAATTAAATCTCAAGTTCATCTACTTTGCATTTGCATCGTTATGCAAACTATCGCACAGGCCCCAAGCTGGTGGTCTGGAGTTCACTCTGCACCCACCCGGGCTGTGTTCCACGCTCAGCACTTCCAAGGCCAGCGCCGCCGTGGGAATGCCTTAGGCCTTCTTCTCACTGTGGTCCCACCCCACAGGCGCCGGGGCTCACCAGACCCTTCCTCCACGGGCCCTGGGATGTTTGTCCCTGCGCCTGGAACATCTCTGCCTGCCTGCTTTGACGAGTTGACGTTTTACTTACTCTTTAGGTGCTCAGTCTCTTGGAGCAGCTTTTCTCCATCCCTCGGTCTACGCTAGGCTCCACCGTGACTTTCCGTGCCTTGTGCTCCCGGCGCTTGCAGTTTCTGTGTGTGTGTGTGTGTGTGTGTGTGTGTGGCTTGGGTTGTAAGCTCTGAAGGGAGACCCTGAAGGGTTTCCTTGCCTTCGTGGCCCCCCGTTTTTAGGGAGTGTCTGGGACACAGTACTCGTTCAGTATGTACGGAGGGGTTCGTTTGGAGGTTAATCTTTATTTCAAGACTTGTTTGAATGGTCATACCTGCCACGCTCAGCATGATGAGCAGCGTGGCTTCAGTCACCTGCGTGCGCACTCTCTGTCATAGCTGCTTGGGGTTTCCACCCGTCTGACCGCCTTCCGGCTTCGTTGCCTGAGTGACACGGGGCCTTCAAACTCATGTTGTTGAAAACCCAGCTCTCCTTCCTCGTCCCGCCTCCAGGCTCTTAGTGTGCGCTCTACTCCAGGCGCAGTCAGCCCCGACTTCTCTGTTCCGGCCGCCTGCGTCCTGTCATTGCCTCTTGCCGTGGCCCTTCACCTGCCCGGTGCGGCTTCCACGTTGCCATCGGGGGTCCTTCTGCAAACACAGCTCTGACCACGCTGCTCTTAAAGATTTCACTCAGTCCGAACTCTTCACTGCAGGGCTCTGCACGTCCTGGTCCTGCCCACAGGTTCCCCTCTCGAGCCCTCTGACCCCAGACCCCGGGCTTTCCTCGTCCCGTCCACCAGGACGGGTTTCTGTCCGCTGCCCATTGTAACCTCTGCGCTGGCCATGGAACGTGGTTGACAGTCTGCCCCCTGCCACGTGTTGGAGGGTAGGGACACTTCCCTTCGTAATCACCGTTCTTGGGGTTGGGGACCCAAATCTGGGGGAAGCTAAGTGGTAACTTTTCATCCCTGGAACTTTTATGTAAAATTGGACTGATCTAAATTCTAGACATAGGAGAGAAAGGTTGGTTACTGTGTAATGCGCAGTTATTCTGTGAAAGATACTTACGGAAGTGAAAGCTGCGTTATGTAAAAAACAGAAGGTGTCTTTGGGTTACTCTATCTGTAGAGAATCAGATATCACCAAGGAGCGAATCCAGAAGATCCTGGCAGCCGGCGCCAACGTTATTCTCACCACCGGCGGCATTGACGATATGTGTCTCAAGTACTTTGTGGAGACTGGCTCGATGGCCGTCAGGAGAGTCTTGAAAAGGGACCTTAAACGCATTGCCAAAGCTTCTGGAGGTACGTCTTCCGCTAGCTCTCAGGTGTGACATTTCGGGTTACTGTACATGACCATGACGCTGCCCTGGAATGTCAGCGCTGAGCAGCTTCAAAACCTACCCTTGCTTCTTTTACTTCCTGTAATGATCTACGGATGTATTTTATAGAGCCATTTTTCATGTAATTGGAAAAGTTCTTTGGTTCTACTGAATTTCTTTACGTCAGTGACAGTTCCATCTTGGACAAAAGGACAGTTGCTGTCTGATGCCTCGCTGGAAACGTAAACTTGCATTATTAGTGCATCGCCTTTTCATAAATGTTTCTAAACCTAAGACAAGCTGCAGAAATATTCGTGGAGAATAGTGCTTACAAGATCTTTGTAATTACCTCGACAGCCACCATTCTGTCAACCCTGGCCAACCTGGAAGGGGACGAAACCTTCGAAGCCTCGATGCTGGGACAGGCCGAAGAGGTGGTGCAGGAGAGAATCTGCGATGACGAACTCATCCTGATCAAAAAGTGAGCGCTGCCTTCTCGGTCACAGATCCGCGTCGGGTGGACTAGGGAATGAAAGCAGGTCCCTTTCCCATTGATTTGCTGCTCTCGTCTCCCCAGTGGCATGAGCAGTTATACGCGTGGGATAGAACAATGCCGGACCGCTGTGGACGGGGGTGGGGTGGCCGTGCCACCTCTCTTGCACGTGTGGTCCGGACACGGCTTCTGTGTGCCCGTCCTCACACAGGCAGGATTTAATCCGCGTGCTTATAATGAGTTAATTCCATGTGGACTTAATTTCATGAAAGTCCTGGTTGAAGCAGCTCACTGTATGTTTCACCAGCACCAAGGCTCGCACGTCTGCGTCGGTCATCTTACGCGGGGCGAACGACTTCATGTGTGACGAGATGGAGCGCTCCATGCACGACGCGCTCTGCGTGGTGAAGAGAGTGCTGGAGTCCAAGTCTGTGGTCCCGGGAGGGGGTGCGGTGGAGGCAGCCCTCTCCATATACCTTGAGAACTACGCAACCAGCATGGTAAGAACGTCTAGGAACCCCCCGCCCCCTTTTCCCCCAAGAAGCTCATGAGAGACCGTCTCTAGCATTTTGATAATACACCTCATCTGAGGTCTTGGCTGCTGAGAGTTTTGTCGTCTTGTGTGAAGACGCCTCCTTGTCTTCCTCCTCAGGGGTCTCGGGAACAGCTTGCTATTGCCGAGTTCGCGCGATCTCTCCTGGTCATTCCCAATACACTGGCAGTGAATGCCGCCCAGGACTCCACGGATCTGGTTGCAAAGTTAAGAGCTTTTCATAATGAGGCTCAAGTGAACCCAGAACGTAAAAACCTAAAATGGTAAGTACGCAATTTCTCTGACCTTTTCATTGTCGTCTGTAGCTCTTATGTCAGTCTTGTTTTCTGGTGATTTTTATTAGCATTGATATGTCTTAAGTTTGTCCTTGCCTCTCTGGGTAGTCACTTTACCTGCAGGGCGGTCCCACAGAGGAATAGGGGAGATTATTTGGGGCCAATCCGTAGCTGTTTTTAAGCAACCCCTTTATAAGTTACTAAATGATGTTTAGAAAGTTTCTGTGCTGATTGTGTCATTGATAAAGAACTACTTTAGTCTTTATTATTATTAAAGAGTTTTGTTTATTTTAGAGAGAGGAAAGGGGAGAAACATCCGTTTGCTGCCCCACTTATTTATGCATTCATTGGTTGATTACTGTGGGTGCCCCAGCAGGGCATCGAACCTACAGCCCTGGTGTATCGGGATGACTCTCCAGCCCACCTAGCTACCTGGCCAGGACCAACCACTGTAAAAGGATAGGGTGAGCATGTGTTGTAAGACATCACCTAACAGGTTTTTTTTTCTAAATTACAGGATTGGTCTTGATCTGATTAACGGCAAACCTCGAGACAACAAACAGGCAGGAGTGTTTGAACCAACTATCGTTAAAGTGAAGAGTTTGAAATTTGCAACAGAAGCTGCAATTACCATTCTCCGAATTGATGATCTCATTAAATTACACCCAGAAAGCAAAGATGATAAGCATGGAGGGTACGAAGATGCCGTTCATTCAGGAGACCTTGATGACTGATCTGATTCGCTCTTATTTATAACACTCTTGAGGTGTGGCTGTCTTGTGTATCCCACATTAAAGTATGACCAGCTGTCAGCCTCCCCTGGGTTCTTGTGAAGTGGAAGGTGGCGTCCAGCCTCACATTGGTCCTGTTCTCACGTCAGTGTCTTACTAGTTCAGAAGGAAACGAGGTTCAGGTGAGCCCAGCGGGCTCACCCTCTCTGGACACACATTGCTATCCCCATCCCGCCCCCGATGCACAGGGCAGCGACGCCACGGCGCCCGCCCTGTCGCTCCATCGTGTGTAGCAGGGTGACCAGGATCCGGCAGCCGGATGCCCCCAGAGGGTGCCCCAGGGCTATTGCCCCTCCTTGAATGTTGACCTAAGGGGGGAAAGATTTGTCACTTTGTGGTAATAGGTCAAAATCCTAAACTAGGATCTTTTTCCTCTTAATGTTATACCAGTAAGCTACCCTTTTCCACTGCTTAGGAACTGATTTATAGCTTTGTGACATCTGTCCTGACTGCCTTCCCTTATTTCTTAGTTTAAAAAATTGTTAAAACCCTATTCCCATTTCAAGTAAAGGAATGTTGTCAAGGATTTTTGCCTTGGGAAACAAGTGAACCCGTGAGTCCCAGCAGGGACTTCAGTCTCGTAGCCACCCGTTACGACTGCGTGGCCAGTGTCCGGGAGGTGCCATCTAACTGCACACACATGTGGGTTTTGCTGTTTCCGGTCAAAACTGCACTGCGAAAGCCCGCCTGCAGGCTCTCCTCAGGGCTGTGTGCTCGCCTTACCTTCTCCGGGTTTAATCCAAGCTCCTTAGCCACTGCGGCAGACTGGGCTGCAAAGGCTTCGTTGATTTCAAATATGTCCACGTCCTCCAGTGACCAACCTGCTTTTGCAACCTAAAGGAGAGATAATGGGAGAGCTCTAAAACTTGACCCGTTCTTCGCTGTGGGTAACAGTGGGACACACTGTGGTATTGACGGGTCTCCAAAAGCTGCCGATTGGGTTCCCTAATCAGCCTAGTGGTGATGCCACATTTTGCCTTAGACACCAATTCTAAGACAGTAAGGGTAAAACAATCCTCAGACATTCTAAACTGTCTTAAATGTTGAACAAGTAACACCTCTCATGTGTAAGAGAGGTGATACAGCAGAACTGGTTCCCCTAAAGCAGGGGTGTCAAACTCATTTTCACGGGGGGCCACATCAGCCTCACAGTTGCCTTCAAAGGGCCGAATATAATTTTAGGACAGTAAATGTAACTACTCCTTAACAGTTAAGGGAGAGCTTGGCACTGCTGCCAGGTAGAAACAAGGTGGAGGGCGGGATTCGGCCCACGGGCCTTGTGGTCGCCACCTGTGCCCTAAAGCACGTGATCCCAATGTGCAGGGCAGGAAGTGACTGAGCTCATTTGAGGCTAATTGGAAGACTTTCATAAAAGGGAAACAAAGCCAGTGAAACCTGATAGGAATGAACATGAAAGCAAAATCGAGCTCCGTCTTGGCATTTTGGTGCGGAAAGCACCTCAGAAGGTTTACAGAAGGCAGAGCTTCAGTGCAGAATGACAGGTGATTGTGCTAGTCCCCAAGACGGAAACGAACCAACATCCAGAATTAAACTCACAGCTTGCTTTATTGCTGGAATCGGTCCTGTCCCCATAATGGAAGGCTCCACACCGGCTTGTGACCAGGAGACGATCTGTGCCAGAGGTGCAAGCCCACGGGCGTCGGCTTCCGACTTCCTCATGAGAACCACTGCCGCCGCGCCGTCGTTGATGCCTGCAAAAGGCGACTGCCTCAGTGTCTAACGTGGGGCTCGGGAACTTCTGTGTGTACCCGAGTTCACTCGCCTTCTCTCACACCCGAAGACACGAGTGAACACACCTTGGCAAAGCCGTCTGCCGTATTTCTGGTGTTAGCATGTAATCAGAAATGGTACCTTAGGCAATATGGCATAACTGACCACAGGACACTCTAATGGGAGGAAACGGAAAGAGTAAAGCAGTGGGGCAGAGGAGGGTGACAAGAAATGGAAGGAACAGCCTCACCCTCACAGGAGGCCATGGACTTCCTGGGTCTGGGGAAGGACAAAGTCTGTAGATAAAGGAGGGCTCCCTAATGTGTTTTTGCATCTGTACATCCAGTTGGGCAAGCTGACCCATTCATTCAGTGTATATAGGATAAGTCAGTCAGACGTGGAGAGACTAACGGTTAAGTCTGGAAAACATTTTCCCCTAAAGCAGCAAAAACAAGGTTTTAGAATAACATGTACAGAAAGTTAATGAGATAACAGAACAAGGAATTACCCTGGCAGAGCCACCAGAAGATGGCGTGTCTCACCTGAAGCATTCGCGGCGGTCACAGTCCCCGTCCCGTCCGTGAGGAAGTAAGGTTTCAGTTTAGACACGGCTTCCATGTTGCACCCGTGGCGAGGGAACTCGTCTGTTTTGACTTCAGTGAGACCTGACCAAAAGACGAATGAACCCTGGATTAGAACAGAGATGGCAGGCAGCATGCTGGGAAGGCGGGTGCCTCGGGCCTGCTGCATGAAGATTCGTATTTAGGAGAAAGGTTTACTATAAAATACTTTCATTCCAATAAGACAAAAGTATGCACGAATAAAAATTGTTATGTTAAAACATCTGTCCTGATGGGTGTGGCTCGGTTGGGCATCATTCTGCAAAGTGATTCCCAGTCGGGACGCATGTCTGGGTTGCGGGTTCCATCCCCAGTCAGTGTGCATGAGAGGCAACTGACCAACATTTCTTTCTCCTTCCCTTTCCCTCTCTCTAAAAATAAATAAATGTAAAACATTTCATGAGCGCTGTCGTCAAGAGACAGTTTGCGTTTTCCACATCCACAGCCCTTTCTGAGGAAGGCAGGCACAGGCAGTTCTTCGTGCAAAACGGCCGTGGTCTCGGGCACAGGACTGGGCTGGGTGTAGCCGGCTGGACCCGGGGATGGGAGAGCCAAGCTCGTAAGGGTGGGCCATGAGAGATGTCAGTTAACACACTCGTAGAGCTTGGGCCCCAGCTGGTGCAGCTCGGCTGGTTGAGTGTTGTCCTGCAAACAGGTCACTAGTTTGATTCCCGGTCGGGGCACATGCCGGGGTTGCAGTTTCTGTCCCCAGCCCTGGTCAGGGTGCCTGTGGAAGGCAACCAAGTGATGTTTCTCTCTCACATCAACATTTCTCTTTCTCCCTCCCTTACCCCTCTCTAAAATAAAAGATTAAAAAAAAAGGGAGCCAAAAATATCCACCCAAGAAATACGAAATGTATATAGAAACAGCAGGAAGTAAGGGATGTTTGCTGTGGAGGAGACCCGGCCTGTGAAAGGTCAGCGGCCGCTGCCTCACAGCCCCGAGCCAGAGCCCCGGTTTCCCGGGAGGCCTGCGCCACCCCCAGGCAGTGTGGGCTCCCGGGGTCGACAGCGTCTGAGCGCGGTGCCAGTGCCCACAAACGCCCACCCCACACCCATACTCAGGTGCGTCCGGCTCTCTCCTTTAGTTACAACCCGAAAGATAGAGCTAACACTCAATTTGTGAACAGTCCCATCTGTTGTTCTTTTGGATATTGCTCTTACTTGTAAATAGCCGTGTTGATGTCTAACTCATTGGGATTTACACACCCACCTTTTCTGGAAGTGACATAAACTGGCACAATCTCTTTGTCGAAATGGCCAGCCTTCTGGGCGCTCTCTGTCCTGTTCTGGGACAGAACTGCCAGCTTGTCCTGATCTTCTCTGTTCACTTGCCATTTTTTGGCTACATTTTCAGCTGTGCAAACAATAAAGCAAAACCAAACATTTTCAGGAACTGACTTCTGGTGGCACCAGTGTTTCTGAAACAAGCACGGACCCCCCCCCAGCAGCAGGCTCCCGGGCGGGCAAGAGACCACATTCTGCGTGCGACCCTGCCTCCCCCGGCGATGGGCGTGAAAATGCCGGCAGGGACTTTATCAAGAAGCCGTTTTCTTTCTCTGCTTCCTTCTGTCTTTTCCTTTTAATGCAATTCTAAATTTTCAGAAAAGTCCTTTATGTTTATTTTTGCCCCAGCTGGTTCCTCATTCTCTTTCTGAACCATCTGAAAGCTAAAGATACCATGCTCCTTTACCCCTAAACTTTAGCTTCGGAGTGTATGTCCCCCCAAACAAGGCCATTTGCTTATGAAACTGTAGCTTCCAGAATCAGGAAGCGGACCCCTGGCATGTCACCATGATCTAACCCCTGGTCCCATGTGCCAGTTTCACCTGCCGTCCTGATGGTGTCCTTCACAGCTCATTTATTTCTTCAGGACCCAACCCAGGACCATGCGTTGCATTTCACTGTCAATTTCTTTAGTTTCTTTTTAGTTTGGAAGAGTTCCTCAGACCAACTTTGTGTTCCTTGAACCTTGTTATTTTAAAAAGCAAGGACCAGTTCTGTTGTCAAATAGCCCTGATTTGGGTTTGTTGTTTCCTCCAGATCAGACTAAGACTATGCAGAAAAGCAAGGAATCCGACCAAACGGGATTTCAGAACGAGGAGGGAAGCTCCTGTGGAGCCGACTACCATAGGACTTTCAACCTGCTCACAGTTCGTATGTCTTCAGCGATGTGTGCCTTACCTGTAATGCCCATGTGGTACTTGTGAAAAGCATCCATGAGGCCATCGCAGAGAATACTGTCCATCAGTGGTGTTTCCCCCATCCTGACTCCCGTCCTCAGGTGAGCCAGGTGAGGAGCCTAGAAGCAAGAAATACCAATGAATTTAGGCTTGGTTATAGCCAGTCCTCTCCTCAGGATTCCACTCTTAACTAGCCAGTGGTCCCTAAGTTCCCACCCGTTCCCCTTGTGACCTTCTCCCCAGCGCTGGCCCACCCCCCTCCTCACCCAGGGTCCAGGGCCCGAAAGCCCCTGGAATCAGCAGACCAGTCCACCTGTCTGCTCCCGGGAGCCTGTTACTCTCCCCCCCACACTTCCGTTTTCTGTCAAACCTATCCCTTCTGTGTCCTCTTTCCTTAAGAACCTCATTCATTCTTTCCAAAGAGGCAACTAGTTATCTGCTTATCAGGGGTATCAAACTCATTTTCACCGGGGGCCACACAGCCTCG